TATTCATCAATCAGAGAATATGGCCGCGCAGCAAGAGGAGGGAAGAGTTCAAGCATGGTCTCCAAACTTGGAGAGCAGCTAGAGAATGTCGTAAGGAGATCCATTATCGTCGCAGATGTCTTTTTTATCAATCTAAAAGGTGAACAGGAGTCGTGAATGAACCGCGCAAGAATACATGGCCATCTTGTTTCTATAAATGAGATTACTTGTCGTAAAGCTGGGCACCCTCGCGCGTTCCCATCTTTAAAAGAATCCGCTTCTCGTCTTCATTACTACAGCAAGTAGCCAGCAAACGAATCGTCTTTCGCGACGCAAGAGAATGAAGTTCCAAATGGTGACGTATGATAAATCGTGGAGTGATTGGTATGTCTACAGGTGGACCTCCAGGGCTTGATTTCCGAGAGGCCAAGTTATGCTTGAGGATGAGGAACTGATCCGGCGATACCTTCCCATCCATTCGTCGAAGCAACCAGGAGACGTCGGCCTCGTTATTGCACGCGAACAAATCAACGCTGTCTCCAGGTCGATAAGGCAATTTATCTCCATCTTTGAGTCTGAGGGAAACCCTGGAATAGCAATCCGCCTTAAGTGAATAAGCCTAAACGATTGTCTTAAAAGCAAGCGACCAAGACTTAAACGATCGACGTAACTAAACGATTGACTTGCCTATATGTAGGCTTGACACCACCTTCATTCATGCAATGAACTGAGGTCAAAACACATTCAAATACCTTGCAAGTGCCGTTTAAGAGATCCAGCGGACAAATGACAACACCAGCAGATCCAGACTCGCAAGGAACAGCGCGATAGCGAAAAACGTTCATGCCGTGAAACTGACTCAATCAACTTGCCCTATCAGTTTCATCTTATCAGTTTAAACAAATTGGCATTCGAAAGAATAATTATAAATTAAAAGTGCTCCAAAGTTATTGGTCTGTCAATGGATACATTTTGTACCGAAAATCGTCCGTCATCCAACAGATCTAATTTTTTTTGAAACAGGTTGGAGGCTATGATGCATGTAATTCTTTTTCCGTGATTATCTGACTTTCGGTGTTTACTTTAAGGTTTGCCTGGCCCTCCGGCCGTGCTCATGTCCACTCGCTTCGTCCTCTGTGGAATACATGTATCCAGCCTCACTTACCGCCTTCTTCCACTCTGCGGGAAGTCTCGGAACGCGAACCCGACACTTATCCCATGACTTCTACCCTAACACGCACCGATTGTTGCATGTGACTATGGTGTGGAAGAGACGCATTTGCATCGGTGGCAAAGACTTTCCGAACCCTTCACAACGAAAGGGTCGAGACCGGCGTCTGCATTTGGCTTCACCGTATCAATGTGTTTGGCAGATAAGCTTCGTGTCGGGATTTCTCCTACAAAATCCATGTATATGTATATGACTGTAAGAGCTGCCTGTCTACCCTCTGGTCCCTGAACCTCAGACTTCAAGAGATAGTTAGTTGCGGATGATTTATTGGGCTTTTTTTACTAGAAAGGATGGAGAATGGGATACAGATGAGGTGAGTAGGAGATATCAATCGGATGGAGACTCCTCGCCGGCTTCACGTGGTTCGCGTCCCCAATTGGTTTCCGCCTCTCACCTATAAAAGTACACTTAAACAAACTAGTATATATTACAAGGACTGTGACCCATCCCGTTTTCCTTGTAACATATCTGCTTTAGGCCACAGTTCCACCATCTAATCCTGGAGCAATTGATGGTTAAAAGGTGTTTGCGTTCCAGAATGCGGTTGTCAGACCGAATGTTACTCCAGATTCAGTTGAAGCTGTCGAGAAGATC